GGATCGTGGCGCGGGCCTACGCACTTTCTTTCCGGATGAGGCTGTCATTTCGGTAATTCGAATTATTGGCGTATCGGGCTACGGCGCTTCGGCCGTCGCCTACTACTCGGAAGTCGAACTCTGTGCGTGCGTGCGCAGCCCAGTTAGCTTTTGCGTTCCTATGCGCGTTGTCGATGCTTTCTTGTCCGATATCTTGGGCTTTGAAGGAATGAGATGCGTACCGAGGAATTCGTGGCCGAAACGGCCAGAATGTCCGGAGCTGTGGTGGTTTGATTTGTTAGCGGTGCTTGCTGCGGTCCAAGGCTGTTATGGGTGGGTGGGAGGACTGGGCTTACTAGTAGCGTATGTAGAAAGGCTCGCTAGATGAACTCATGTTTGGATTGTGAAGTTATGATTGTTGGCAAGCTGTTGTAAGGATGACATATAACGATCTTAGACGTTCTTAGAATGTTGTTGGTAATTTGTTTGAGCGGGAGTTGAATCTGATGGAAATCGAAATGTACAGTACATGAATGGAAGCAAGGCTACATACCTCAGTCGATACCAGAAAGCTATGCGATCCAGCTGGGGTGGATTTGGCGGGGCAGGGCCCGATAGGACGTACCTACAAGGTACGTTACCGGGATGTGGGTGCGGTCAAGCCACACTTTAACTTATTCGGTCTTACGGCCGTGTACTCGAGTATAAGGTTGTGGCTCAATCATCATTCGTGTTGTGAATATAATTGGTCCACTATGCCCATATCGATTAGGTAACGAATTAGTACAAGTAGGTAGGTACCTCTGTAGCTTCAGCACGACTGCCCCTGGCCCACAAAGACCTGGAAAGGTCCCACTTATAGTTTAGGAGGGACAGATTTCTGTGTGGAACCTTTTAATGTACGTACTTGTGTACGGAGAACATGCTGGCTGATGTCTATTGGGACAGCCTGGTCATGAATTGAGGGTCAACCCACGACTTAATACAAAACTACCAACCTATCACTCGCCGCACCAGCAGAAGCACCAGTCGAGCGGCCCCTGTGATGCATAGTCGCATTCTAACTGACTGAACGGCCACCTCTTGTCTGTTGATGCCACCTCTGGCTGCTCCTAGCCCCAACCCCATCTCCTTATACCGCCTCTCCTTCCGCTGGGCTCCTGTTGAAGGGGGGGAATATCGACGGGTAATCGACCTCAATTGCTCTCGGTCATTGTAGTTGACATTCCTCGCGTCCATTCTACCTCCAATAGACGCGGTACCAATATTGACGAAGCATTCGAAAGTCGCAAGAGTTGCCCGCCACGATGACCACATTCCTCGAGAACGCATACAGCTTAGTCCACCAGGACAATGCTGCTGATGTCCCCTCCATGTCGGAGCTGCGCACGCAGCTGGAGAAGGGCACAGATGAGACCAAGGTCGACACCATGAAGCGCATCCTAACCATCATGCTGAATGGCGACCCCATGCCTCAGCTCCTCATGCACATCATCCGATTCGTCATGCCCTCGAAATCCAAACACCTGAAAAAGCTGCTGTACTTTTACTACGAGATCTGCCCCAAGCTTGATGCTAGCGGGAAGTTGAAGCAAGAGATGATCCTTGTCTGGTGAGCATGATCGTTCCGAAAGGGCACACATACCCTGCCTACCTGGCGCTAACTACCGAATGTCTAGCAATGGTATTCGGAATGATCTCCAGCACCCCAACGAGTACATTCGAGGAAACACCCTACGCTTCCTCTGCAAGCTGCGAGAACCCGAGCTGATCGAACCTCTTCTGTCGTCTGCGCGATCTTGTCTCGAGCATCGACATGCTTATGTTCGCAAAAATGCCGTATTTGCTGTTGCCTCGATCCACCAACACTCCCCCTCCCTTATTCCAGACGCTTCAGATCTGATCGCTACTTTCCTTGATGGCGAGAGCGATGCGACTTGCAAGCGCAATGCTTTCGCTGCTTTGTCAAGTATTGATCATGACAAGGCCCTCGCCTACTTAAGTAATGTATTTGATGGCATTCCTAATGCCGAGGAATTATTACAATTAGTCGAGCTCGAGTTCATCCGCAAAGACGCCATTCAGAACCAGCAGAATAAGGTAGGCCAACGAGTCACGTAGGAAACTTGGAATTTCTGCTAATAGGAGAAGGCTCGGTATTTGAGGCTCATTTTCGACCTCTTAGAAGCCAACACTTCGACCGTCGTATACGAGGCTGCCTCATCCTTGACAACCCTTACTAGCAACCCCGTAGCCGTCAAGGCCGCTGCTGCCAAGTTCATCGAGCTCAGCGTCAAAGAAGCAGACAACAATGTAAAGCTTATCGTACTAGATCGTGTAGATCAACTGCGTCAACGAAATGAAGGGATTCTCGACGATCTCGTCATGGAAATCCTCCGTGTCCTTTCAAGCCCCGACATTGATGTGAGACGGAAAGCTCTTGGAATTGCGCTGGAAATGGTATCCAGCAAGAATGTTGAGGAAGTCATTTTACTTCTGAAAAAGGAACTCTCAAAGACTGTTGATCAGGAATATGAGAAGAACGCCGAGTACCGACAACTGCTGATTCAATCGATCCACCAATGCGCCATTAAATTCTCCGAGGTTGCGGCAAGCGTTGTTGATCTGTTGATGGACTTCATTGTTGCGGATTTCGGGAATACATCCGCCGTAGATGTCATCAGCTTCGTGAAAGAAGTCGTCGAGAAGTTCCCGAAATTACGACCTTCAATTGTCGCACGATTGGTCGATACACTCAGTGAGGTCCGGGCAGGTAAGGTCTACCGCGGGATCGTCTGGATTATTGGCGAGTACTCTCTTGAGGAAGGTGACATTAGGGATGCGTGGAAAAAAATACGTGCGAGTCTGGGTGAAATACCGATCCTAGCGTCGGAGCAGCGCCTACTCGACAACGTCGATGGCCAGAATGAACAAGAACAGGAACAGGTGAATGGCCATTCCAAACCTGCGCAACCTTCCGGCTCACGACGAGTCTTGGCCGATGGCACGTATGCCACCGAAACAGCTCTAACGAGCGCATCCGCTACTGCTGCAAGATTAGAGGCCGTTAAGGCGGCACAAAAACCTCCATTGCGACAACTGATCCTTGATGGAGATTACTACTTAGCGACTGTCCTCTCTGCTACACTGACCAAGCTGGTCATGCGTCACTCTGAGATTTCTTCGGATAAGGCGCGGACAAATGCCCTCAAGGCCGAAGCCATGCTAATCATGATCTCCATCATCCGCGTCGGGCAATCTCAGTTCGTCAAGACCGCTATTGACGAGGATTCTGTCGACAGAATTATGTCTTGTGTTCGGTCTTTGGCCGAATTTTCCGAGAACAAAAAGCTCGAAACTGTCTTCCTCGACGATACTCGGAAGGCCTTCCGCGCTATAATCCAGGGTGAGGAGAAGAAACGAGCGGCGAAAGAAGCCTTCGAAAAGGCAAAGACAGCAATCCAGGTCGACGATGTGGTACAAATCCGCCAGCTATCAAAGAAGAACCAAGGAGAAGGCACCGATGAGATTGAATTAGATCTCGAAAGGGCAACCGGTGTCGAGGCTACATCCGAGGACCTTACATCGAAACTAAGTCGTATCGTCCAATTGACTGGCTTCTCCGACCCCGTTTACGCCGAAGCATATGTCAAAGTACATCAGTTCGATATCATTCTGGATGTCCTCCTAGTCAATCAGACAACTGAGACCCTGCAGAACCTCTCAGTAGAATTCGCTGTTCTAGGTGACCTCAAGGTCGTGGAGCGGCCAACCACCCAGAATTTGGGGCCGCATGATTTCCACAACGTACAGTGTACTGTCAAAGTCTCATCCACTGAGACTGGTGTCATCTTCGGCAATATAATATATGGCGGTGCCCATAGCACTGACGTCAATGTGGTCATCCTCAACGACCAACATGTCGACATTATGGACTACATCTACCCCGCAACATGTACAGAAACACAGTTCCGGACAATGTGGACCGAGTTCGAATGGGAGAATAAGGTTAACATCAATAGCAAAGCCAAGTCTCTTCGTGAGTTCTTGGAACAACTCATGGCTTGCACGCATATGAACTGTTTGACGCCCGAGGCTAGCATGAAAGGCGATTGCCAGTTTCTAAGTGCGAACCTCTATGCCAAGAGTGTATTCGGTACGTGCCTCTCTACCACATTAATCTCGGTATAGATGCTAATATGATTACAGGAGAGGATGCTCTAGCAAATTTGAGTATTGAAAAGGAAAGCGAAGACGGACCCATCACAGGCTTTGTCCGCATAAGAAGCAGATCACAAGGCCTTGCTCTGAATCTTGGATCGCTGAAGGGGTTAAACAAGATTGGAACGGTTGTTTGAGTACCGCGATCTATTAGCTCCGAATATCAAACTTAGATGCAATGCAGAGTATTCTGCGGATAGAAGCACGAGTAGTTGACCAAGCCAATGCTCACGCAGACCCGTGAATAGGGCTGCCAGGAAAGAGGGAAAAGCTTGATATCCGAGTGCAAGGTGTGTTGACCTTTCAAAAGCACAGCATGGTCCAGAAAAAAAAAGAGTGTGGGATGCTGGGTTAGCTCGAAGTAATCTAGACAATGCAAATTATTGAACATGTACATTGTGCTTGAGGTGCAAGCAAATCAATCATTGAACAATTACGAATCCAACACCGATGGGAACAGGAGGCATAAATGCCTCAAGAGCAAAATTAATTGTTGTCATCATAGGTTTCCAGTATCGCAAACCCACGAGGTTAGAAAGCCCAGCGTTAAATCTAGAATGGTAGAATAAGGGGGGTAGGTCTGGGGAGAGAGAGGCAAGGGCAAGTCAAAAAGCAGGTTTACCCGAATAGGGTAAGCGCGGTTTTTAGCACTTGAAGTACCCACTTTTTCTGGGTGGGCTCACCAGCCACACTAAGACTTGACTAAGCGCGCGGCTCCCCACGCCATACCCATACCCCCAACTCCAACTCCAACACAAGGAGCTCCAGCTCGTATTAGACAACTCCAAAAAGCAATGCCATGTCCTCGGTGAGGCTCGAACTCACGACCTTTGGATAGCCCGATCTGGGATCGGATCATACGAATATGAGACCAACGCTCTAGCCAACTGAGCCACGAAGACTTGAAAGGGGGTCCGAACTGAGCCACAGCGCCATCGCGCCTGCTCTGCCTGGTTGCAACTTCATGCTGTAAAATTGTTTAAGAAGGTAGGTAGGTGCGACCGGGCTCGTGGTTGCCTTGGGATAGTGTGAAGTGGATCCTGCCTTATCTGTCACTGCACGCAAGTCTATGTTGTTCTTGCTTAAAAGTTTTACCTTTTTAATATTCAATTAATGCTTCACCAGTTCCAACTAATGAAATGAGAATCAATCGATTTCTAAACTATTATTCAAGTCTTCACTAAGTGCAGTAAGTTCGGGACGGTGGGTACGAGTCTGATGTTGCTTTTCGATGAGGGCAGCAGTGAGTGCACAACATGCCTTTGCGCTGTGGATAACCCCTCCGACGGCTAAGCATCCTCTGGTCGGCCTGCACCAACCCTCCTTGTAGGGCACTTTCTTTTCTCGTTTTAATGTTCTTCTTCCCGAAGTAAACAAAGCAGGCGAGATAGTAATTTTCTTAGTCGAGCGGGAGGCGGGAGGCCCGACATAGACAAGCAAGAAGAAAAAGATCGAGAACGACGTCAAGGAGGGGCCGAGACATCGGGTGTTACACTGTTCGTTGATGTCAGACAACCGAGCCGAGGGTGCATTAACGGGCTACGCGTCCAAGAGTTAGCGGCGCCAAGCATGAAGAGAGAAAGAAGAACGTACTGCGTAGAGGATATCGTAGGTATGTATGTAGGCGGTTACAACATACTAGTACGGTGCCTACAAACAGGGGTTTCGAGAAGCTTGCGCTGAGTTGCGAGCTGTTTTGACAATGATATCCTATGATGTATGCTTACTGCTACGGGGTAGATCAAGCAAGATTAGACGGGAGGCCTAAACAAGTCTATACTACGTGCACGCATCACGACAGCTCGTGAAATGGCCTCCCGGATACCCACTTTTGGAGGTGACCGTCGTTGCTAGGTAGATCGCAGACGTGAAAATTTAGTTGTGTCCAGTTCATATGCGCCCGCCTGACCTCGATCTTCACCACTTTACAAATCAAATATGTATATGTATACACATAAGGCACTGCAATTTATGGTTCGTCGCAAGCCGGAGATTTACATACCATCTGCATCGAATGGGTAAGAGATAGGCGTAACGGTCACCGATGTTATCGCCACCCACCAAACAGCTGTATGGCCGTGATACCTCTACAGCCCTACTATGTTACAGTAAGGACGATCCAAGTAGCCAAGCGAGTTTTCCCTCCATCATCTTGTTTCCTAATGTAGTACAATCCAGACCCTGCCGAGACCATGTACGTGTCGCGATCAAGGCAGAGGTTCGTACATACCTTAGCGGTAATATCTTCGCATCCTCACATATCACGTATAGTTAAGGGATAGTATACATAGTATAGTACGACGCGGCATCCGCGCTGGTGGGTTCCAGCGCGAGAAACTGCCTCTTTCATCGTGCTCTCACCACGGAACCGCATTATACTGCGCGAAGCTACCGAAGACACAGCCAGCTGCGACCTTGCCGGAGAGAAAGTTGACTCACGACAACTGGCTGTTACCCCGCCCCTCCTCGAGAACTTTTGTCAACCCGTCTGGCAGATCGCGAACCCGCTTGTGATTGGCTGATACCATACTGAGCAGGATTGCATTCTGGGAATCTCGCTCTGGCTATGAATGGTAAAAATTCCCGAGCTCCAACGACAGCGCACGAGAGGGTAGGGGAGGGTTGCCGAGTCATCACACTAGATTGTATCGTGATAGGTGGGATGTGTCCTGTACTGGGTATACTATAGTAGATGAGAAGGAGGAGTGGGAGGTAAGGGATCTAGACAGGCCTGCGATGTGATGGACTAGGAGATGTTCGCAGCTACGGCGCTAGGGCTGAAGACGATAGATTAAGGTTGATTGATTAAGTGCTTGATCATGCCAAGGCACCTTTGAATCATAAATGCTTGTTTGTTCTCTTCTCTGTTCTAGACAGATGTGGTTTCTTGGTTGCTTGCCCTACGTATAGTACTCTGAAAAGCCATGCGTCAAAGTGCATTCGACTTAACTCAGCGTTCAAACATCTACATGCAGCCTTTGGGGAGGTCTGTCAATAGCCTACTCGTTCCTCTCCAAGTTTACAAATGTATCACTGCAGCAAAACACAACATCAACAATCCTGCTCAGAAATCGCTATCTTATGCCGCAAGTCAACGACACACCATCACTACTCAGGCTGAATGCTGTGGTTAACGGTCCGCATGTTGTCGATTCGATTGGTTAGATAGAAGACGCTTCGATGCTGTCTAAACCTCCCTCTTCCCGTTCTTCACGCACGGGTCTAAATAAAATGCCGCAAACCAGGCTTGCCAAAATCATGGTACTGTAAGATTGGTAAGCCTGTCTACTTTACCTGTGATGTGCAGAAAGAAAGAGTAAGTGAGACTCGTTGAAACGGTTTCAACATGCCCATCTATGCCTTTCCCATGTCTATGTCATGCCCATCTCCGTGCCCTATCCTGCGTTCATCCCTTGCTGATCTCATGCCGTGTTAGCTAGTATAGATGATTACTTAGTACACAACAGGCACACTCGGTGAGCGTTGTTGAACAACAGATGCAATGCAACACTCCAGCAAATCTTTGTTTACTACTGTACAGACTCCAATTTACGTCTGACATGTGCAATGACTGTGTTCGTTGGCAGGGTCCTGCTACTAATACAGGAAGTACAGCGCTGATTATATGCCTCAAGAGAGCGGCTTCTCTGCAGATCAGTGGCACATGGTCGGATGCGCGCCCGACTTGCTCTTCCCCGGTCAGCTTAATCTACCTATTAAAAGGTACTTGAGATACTTACACCACCTAATAGTATACAAGGTACACCGTACCTACTGCAAAGAGTCCCGCTCGCTGATTTCAGTGCTACGTGTGTAATACAGTAGGCACAGTAGGTACTACCTGCCGTGGTTAAGTAGAGATTTGCATTGATTGTCTGATAGACCGCGCTGCACTCCGCGATTGAAGCAGGCTAAGGCGCCCCCCGCATTCCCACATATGCGCTAATTCCCCGCATGTCGCATCGTAAGAGCTCGACCCATGCACGCCTCGTACCATTGAGGCCCTCCCTCCATTGTGCCGGAGGTATTGCTACAGGAACTCGACGACTACCGAAACTGCCTAACCTAGGTACAAACGAGAGCACAGATACCTTTTTTCTTTTCTTCTCTTGGGAAGGTAGTAGGTATATATATATATATATAGCATAGGTACGAGTAAACGTGGGAAGTTTCATACTAAACCACTCAATACGAAACTAGTATACCTCGGAAGTATTTATATATCTAGATCACACGGCTCTTAGTCGCAAACTCTAAACCTCGGCATTCTTAAATCCATTGCTTCTGCCTCGACTTTCTTCACTTGAAAGTCATATCACGATACCGTCTATTACCTTGATGGGAAAGAACGAGACTTGAAGCTCGGATATCGAGAACAGAACTCTCAGCGCCAGCAACCTACACAGTTCCCAACTATCATCGGCTGTGTGGTCACAGCCCAGGGAACAATATGCCATCAAGCTCCGCAGCTCGCCCCTTTTCGACGGCGTCTCACGTGTATCCGAGCCACCTACCGACTTTGTATAAATCTGGTCGGATGGAAAAGAAGTTGTGAGACATACCCATCCCATATCTTTCATACGAACAGCAAGGGCTTACGAGAGTCTCACGATAGTGCAACTGCAACTGCCGCTGTCGTCGGTATAGGTCAGTGACATCACCTTGCAGATGAAGTCGTCGACATAGTATCCAACTAATACACGGCTCAATAGGCTACGGAATGGCCAAATACAAGCAGTATCAAGAGCAACAACAATATCACAACGCCGAGGCCGAAGCAGCCCGTCGGCGACAGTCCGAGGCCATCATGAACGCCTATTCTGACAGATCGAGCCTCGCTGAGCTCGAGGCCGCCGTCCAGGCTTACGAGACTCATCGAAAGAGCTAGCGTAGCGACTTGCTACTTCTATACCCATGGCACCTAATTATGGGCTCTCTTTTTTCCTAACAGCGGGCGCCGCGGCGCTTTTCCGGGTTGCATGATAACGGTTTACGATTTAGACGGCGAAGAAAAGTTATAGCGTGTGCTTTGAGCAAAATACAAGCGGGATACGTGAACACAGGGTCGTTTTTACAGAGTCGCCGAGGGCTCTAATCTCTTTCGTCGGAAGCATTCGCAAAGAAACCCTTCTCTACTCAATCCCAGCCATCAATTCATCCAGTCACAAACATATACCTCGGTTAACTTTAGCCTGTGACGGTGTTGGCTTTCGGAAAGCCTAGGCCTGGCTGGGGCTTAGTTTCCGGAATCTCACGGGGGAGAACACTACACGTCATCGGACGATATTGAACATCCGACACGGAAACATACGATCGGCAACGACCGGCTCCTCCGAAAAAGCGTTTAAACTTGCAGAAAGTTATGCGCTCAAACTTTTCGAGTGCGGGGATGAAAAGAATCGATAGGTTGAAAAGTATATCAATCGACGGAGTCGAATCGGGTTCTTCTCATATGCCGAATTTAGGCGCCGAAGAAACTTAAGGAGTAAAGGAAAGTGAAAGCGTAGGTAGAGAAATACCCGGGGAAATTTTAGCATCCCTGGCTTCAACGCTTTTCTGGGCCACTGTACGGAGTACCTAGCCACAGATTACAGCGATTATAAAACTCTGCTCATTTGATGAAGCCCGATATTTGTATTCAATCTGCCAACAGGAGAATACTAGTAGATGTCGGTACAAGCCATAATACTCAGTAAAGTATTCTGCCGTGCCTTGCATTCTATTTCCCCACGGGACCCGCAGAGGATCTCGCTAAGCGGGAGTGCTAAAGCCGGCTGCTGCAAGGGCAGGCGGGCGGGCGATGGACGCATCGTCCAACATGCCGGGAAACGCCGCATTTTTTTATCGAGGACTATACTAATAAGCTCATTTTCGACAGGCTGTAAACTTCCATTACGTACAT